CGAGCCTCTACACCCTGACCACTGAGTCTCCTGCTGTCCCTGTGTCTGGCCAGGTAGCTGCGTCGGGTCAGGTGTTTGCTGCTGCGTCCAGGTCTGGTCCTGAGTCTGCCCCCTGCTCGTGTCGCCTCCTGTCTCACGAGGTCCTCCTGTGGCACCACCGTCTTGGCCACCCCTCCTTGCCCCGTCTCAGGGACATGGCTTCCCGTGTCCTTGTCTCTGGTCTTCCCCGGTCTCTCCCTCCCCTTCCTTTGGGGCCAGGACCTTCCTGTGTCCCTTGTGTCGAGGGGCGCCTCCGGGCTGCCCCCCACTCCTCACAGTTTCCTCCGACAGAGGCTCCTCTGCACACGCTTCACATGGACGTGTGGGGCCCGGCCCGCGTCCATGGACAGGGTCACGAGCGTTACTTTCTGCTGGCCATTGACGACTACTCGCGTTTCACCACGGTCTTCCCCTTGCGCAGCAAGGGTGATGTCACAGAGGTGTTGATCGACTGGATCTGCGCAGCTCGTCTCCAGCTCAGGAGGAGCTTCGGCTCGGACTTTCCTGTTCTGCGTCTGCACTCTGACCGCGGCGGAGAGTTTTCCTCTAGCCTTCTGCGAGCCTACTGTCGTGCACAGGGCATCCGCCAGACCTTTACGCTTCCGGACTCTCCACAGCAAAATGGGATTGCTGAGCGCCGCATTGGCATGGTCATGGACGTCGCTCGTACGTCCATGATGCATGCGGCTGCCCCCCATTTTCTGTGGCTGTTTGGGGTGAGGTACGCGGCGCATCACATCAACCTTCGCCCCGGGGTTTCCCGGCCGGGGAAGGTCCGTACCTCCCCGGCCCTCCTGTGGACTGGGAAGATCGGTGATGCGTCTTCGTTCCGTGTCTGGGGATCTCGGGCGTTTGTCGGCGACTAGTCTGCGGACAAGCTGTCCCCCCGTGCTTCTCCCTGTGTCTTCCTTGGCTTCCCCCCTGACGCTCCAGGGTGGCAGTTCTACCACCCCTCCTCTCGTCGTGTTGTGTCCTCCAAGGACGTCACGTTCGACGAGTCAGTCCCCTTCTACCGCCTCTTCCCCTACCGTACTCCTTCCCTCCCCCCACCGCCGGACTTCCTTGTGCCAGGTCCCCCCCCAGTAGACCCCCTCCCCCCTCAGGTTCTTGCCCCTTCAGGTGTGTCCCAGGTAGACGCTGTCGAGCCGGTCGAGGTTGATGGTGACTCTGGTCCTACTGAGGGTGCTGAGCCTGGGGGCGCTGCCTCTGGGGGTGTTGTGCGCGGGGGTGCTGAGCCTGGGGGTGACGAGCCTGGGGGTGCTGAGCCTGGGGGTGCTGTGCGCGTGGGTGCTGAGCCTAGGGGTGACGAGCCTGAGGTTGCTGAGTGTGGGGGTGCTGCGCCGGAGAGTGTTGAGCCTGGAGGTGCTGCGTCTGGAGCTGCTGAGCCGGGAGGTGCGGAATCTACGGCCACTGGACCTCCCCTTGTGGCGTCTAGCGGTGCTGGGCCTGGAGGTTCTCCGGGTGTTCCGTCTTGGCGGGAGCCCCTCTCTCCACAGGAGCTGCGCGAGTGGTTTGCTCTCCGTTGGAGGCGCTCTGCTGGAGCTAGGAGCTTCTTCAGCCGCTAAGGGTGCTGGTGCCGCCGGTCTTGGAGCTGCTGGGCCTTCGGGTCCCACTAGAGCTGGAGCTGCTGAGGGTGTTGGTGCTGAGACTGCTGTTGTCTGTCGTGGAGGTGGTCCTGCCGCTGGAGCTGCTGTTGGTGCTGGTGCTGCGGCTGAGGATTCTAGAGCTGTCCCTACTGTGCCTGGAGTCCCCGCGCGGCCTCGGCCGTACTTCGTTCCGCTCTTGCACCAGGTTCTTGGTCTTCCTCCTTCTGTAGAGTGTCCGCCGTCTGTCCTGTTGCAGTCACTGTAAGAGCCCGCCTCACCGCTGCCTGCTCCCTCTCCTTACACTGGTCCTACTGGAGGTCTTGCTGAGCGTCGTGAGCCTGCGTCTCGTCCCGCATCGCCTGTTCGTGCTGCTCGCGCTAGTGGTCGCGGTTCGCGTGAGCATCCTCCTCTTGTCCCTGGCACGCACCGGATGTCTCTGCATCCGTCCACTGCTCCTCTGCGTGCCCCTTTGCCTTCTCCTCCTGAGTCCTCTCTTCCTGCACTTCCCGACCCGGAGTCGAACTCTCTTCGTGCTGCCAGTCCTACTGTCACGCGTCTTCTTGCTACTGTTGCCACTGTCCCCTCTTTTGAGTCCGCTGCTGCGTCTGCTCTTGTCGCTGAGCTCGTCGACTTTGCTGCTCGCATGTTGTCTAGACTACGCTGCTAGTCTTGTTGCTGAGTCTGCGCCTGTCTGTCCTCCGTCCGTCAAGGGTGAGTGTGCTCTTGGCATGGACATCCTTGAGGACAAGCAGGAGGAGTTCCAGTGTCTAGCTGCTGCTTCACCTCATCTCGCGTCTGTACTACTTGCCCCTGAGGGAGACCCGGATGCACTAGACATCCCGACTCCGCGCTCTTACGCGGAGGCCGTAGAGGGTCCCTACTCCTCTCAGTGGCAGGCAGCTATGGATGCAGAGATGGCTTCCTGGAAGTCCACAGGCACCTACGTTGACGCAGTTCCCACTCCTGGGGCGAACATCGTCAGTGGCATGTGGATCTTCAGGGTGAAGCGGCCGCCTGGCTCTCCACCTGTCTTTAAGGCGCGGTACGTCGCTCGTGGCTTCAGACAGCGGCAGGGAGTTGACTACTTTCAGACCTTCTCTCCCACCCCAAAGATGACTACTCTTCGGGTGCTGCTGCACATAGCCGCTCAGCGTGACTACGAGCTTCACTCTCTTGACTTCAGCACTGCTTTCTTGCAGGGCAGCCAGCACGAGGAGATCTGGCTGCGCCGTCCGCCTCGCTTCACTAGAACTTTCCCTCCTGGCACCCAATGGAGCCTCCGACGGCCAGTCTACGGTCTCCGCCAGGCACCGCGTGAGTGGCACGACACACTGAGGACTACGCTTGCGGCTCTTGGGTTTGCTCCCGCTACTACTGACCCGTCGCTGTTTCTGCGCACCGACACTTCTTTGCCGCCGTTCTACATCCTCGTGTACGTCGACGACTTGGTCTTTGCCACTGCTGACACTGCTGGACTTGCCTACGTGAAGTCCGAGCTGCTGAAGAGACACACGTGCACGGACCTGGGTGAAATGCGCAGCTACCTTGGCTTGCAGATCACTCGGGACAGAGCACGCCGCACCATTACCTTGACTCAGTCACACATGGTGCAGCAGGTCCTTCAGCGCTTCGGCTTCACGTACTCCTCGCCTGAGGCCACTCCTCTGTCTACTCGCCACTCGCTCTCAGCTCTGCCTTTGGATGAGTCCGTAGAGCCGAGTGGCCCGTACCCAGAGCTTGTTGGCTGCCTCATGTACCTGATGACCTGCACACGACCTGACCTTGCATACCCTCTGAGCATTCTTGCACGCTATGTTGCTCCTAGGAGACACCGACCAGAGCACATGGCTGCAGCGAAGAGGGTGTTGCGCTACTTGTGCAGTACGCCGGGCATGGGGCTAGTGCTTGGAGGGCGGAGTCTAGTGGTCCTCACTGGTCATGCGGACGCTTCTTCGGCTGACAACCAGGCTACGCAGCGGTCGTCGCAGGGGTACACCTTCAGTCTTGGTTCTGGCTCTGTTTCTTGGCGGGCTACTCGCTCGTCTTGTGAGGCTGAGATGTACGCCGGGGCCATGGCTGCACAGGAGCTTTGCTGGCTCACCTACCTGCTGACCGACCTTGGAGAGCCGCCTCGTTCTCCTCCAGTGTTGTACGTAGACAACAAGGCCATGCTGGCCTTGTGTCGAGAGCAGCGCTTGGAGCACAGAACGAAGCACATTGCTCTCCGTTACTTCCTTGCTCGTAAGCTGCAGCAGCGTGGTGAGTTGCGACTTGCGTACGTGGCCTCTGAGGCCAACACTGCTGATGTTTTCACCAAGGCACTTCCGCCTTGTGATCATCAGTGCTTCTGCACTCAGCTCGGACTTGTACCTGTCCTACCTCACTTGCTCACCTATTGACCTTGCTTGTACTCTTGCATAAATATATATATGCTCTTTCTTGTTTAGCCCTATATATATATGTCTCATCTTGCATGTGAACTGGCCTTGTGGCCTTGACCTTGTGCTCGGACTGTGTGGTGACTTTGTGATCCACCCTGAGCTTTGCTTTGCGTTGCTTGACTGGTCTTGTGACTCCTTGTTCTCCCCCACTTTGCCTATGGGGGTGTGTAAGAACTTATAGCTTATGCTTTTGTGTAGGCTATAGTGGGGTATCCCATAGGGGGTACAACCCAATTAGGGTTGGTACTTGTACTCACAGATTCATAGTTCATTCATTTTTGTTCCTTAAAGTTTCACATTAGATCGCCGAGGTCCACTTGCATCACGACCAAAAGGAGCGGCTAGTTGATAAGACGCCAGCAAATATGCTGGCGCCTGCGTCGCCCTCCGTGATCTCCCAGCAGGCTGTGTGTTTTGGGAGGCGATGGAGTTTTCCATCTTGGAGAAGGTAATGAGAGAGAGTGATTGTAGTGTTCTGTGTATGACGTCTTCTTCAACAAAGACGTATGAGAATTCTTCACCTTCAGGTATGCACAAACCAATAAGGGTATTCTGTAACTAGTCATAATTGGCGATTACCGCAATCCACACGTCCAATCGTACAACGCTGCATCAGCATCAATGAGAACCACCAAAACCATATCACATCGGGCCAGTATGACGCATGAAAAGGAAACTCGTGTAGGTTTATCAAAACCGCATACCGCATGGAAACATCAGTCGGGCCAACGTCAACACTATAACATATTTTTACTTATCTCACACAAAGCACACACACAGCCTCTGGTTTCCTAAAAATCTACTTCGAGTGGCTTACGCATACTAAACAATATTCGAACAAATCACATTTACACAGCAACTATTTGCTCTACATTAGTAACAATCTCCATATCACACGAAAACACACATATTCGGTGCCTACCCCTCACTATTCCTACTCCGTACCATCATCGTCACCATCCTCCTCGCACACGTATTCTGCATCACCCTCGGAGCCCTCATCTCCCTCTTTGCCCTCAACACCGTCATCCTCATCTTCCTTGCCGCTCGCACCCACAGACTGCGCTTCTTTCTCCATGAGGTCGGGCCCAGCATTACGTACCTGCTTCGTTTGTAAAGTTCCACCACCATCACTACCCACCGCTTCAACAACACCTCCACCCACCGACTTGACATTAGGGCGCCTCTTCTTTCCCCGTGTGTTAGCTGACGTGCTCTTCCTCACACGTTTCTTCTTGGCATTCAGTTCCTGCACCATCGTCGCCCACTTCCTCCACCGCCACCACATGCGCGCCCCCACGAGCTTCGCCACCGCATCCTTGTCGCACCCCTTCAACAACCCCTTTTGTGCATCTGTCAGGGGGATGGTTTTCTCCATCTTCACACCGGGCCGCAGCACAAAAGCAGCAGCGGCAAACGCCTGGGCGGCCTCCCTGGGGGTTGTATACGCTCCGAGCCGATGATGCCGCCGTTTCACCCCTTCCCATGTCAATATCTTAGCCGCCCACTTCCCAGTTGAATTCTCGATGGATAACCCGGTATAATTCGACCAGTCAACGTCCTCATCATCGCCTCCCTCTCTGGGGCTCTCGTGGTGGGCAGCTGCCAAGTTCCTTGACTGTCCGGCCTCCATGCCCTTCTGCACACTGGGGATGCCTTGAGCAGCCACATGCTGCTGTCTGGAAATCACCCCGTGCGGTATAGTACCGGGTTGCGGGAGTGTTCCCGCCATCGCTGGAAAATGCACTCCTTCCCCCATGAACCTTGCACCAAGCGACACCCGCGTATCCGTACACTTAACGACCTCCTCAGGACTCTCCAGCCCGGGCTTAGCAAACCCAGAAGGGCGCTGGGGGGTAGGGGGCACGTGTTTTGTGCGACTATTTGCTGGGATGCAAACTCCGTCACCGCCGCCGTCTTGCAGAAGTTGCACCGCTGCATCTCGCACCTGCTCAGGTGTGTAGCCCATCACATGCGACAGGAACGCAACAGTGCGTTCAAGAATTGCCATCTTGCGCTTCCTCGACAGCTGTTCTGCCTGTAGCTGCTCCAACCTCGCGTAACAGGCATCGTGCTGAGGATGCGGAGCAGCACGGTCTTTCGTCAACTCGGGGCGCTCCTGCGAAGGGATGTCGATGTTGTCTGCTGCCAACCTAGGCAGAAGGGTACCGGCGGCGTGCTCACAGATGTCGGCGCGCATTCCGCGCCTATACTTCAGCGAATTAACACCTTCAAACCAGAGCCCTGTGCACACGGTCTTGAAGCTCGTCTCCACTAGCTTCTTCAGGTAGTGGCACACGAAAATCCCGCAGTCGTGTGAGTTTGGCTGCTGAGGGCAATGTTCCTCCTGCTCAAGACACAAGGCAAGAAACAAAGAGTTGCATCACTAATTCGAATGTTGCAGTTCACCACTATGTTCGAAATGCATGTCACAACTCACCCCTAGCACGATGCACCTGGCTTCCGTGAGCACACTGTCCACATGAGTCAAATCCGCATGCGGATGGGTCTCTTGGGCCAGAACGGAGAGCACCCTGTGTAAAATAAAAACTTCCAATATGAGAATGTTGTGATAAACGCATGAGGAGAATGAAAACGGGGCCACGTACAGTTTACACCCGCTGAAAATGGCCGCAGCGTCAGTTTGAGAGAGCGCGCTATCGTACAGCACCATCTGCAGGCTGTCTTTGCCATCTGACGTCGACGGTTTGAAGATCTTAGAAGGCTCGCACACGATTACCAATGAGTAGTGATTACTGCAAGAAACATGGGAACGTTTATACGAAAGGGCAAGGTTAGAAGCGCAAACTACAATAGTTGGAGGTGGGGTTTGCAACTAAGCGTGTATGCACACACAACATGTGCTCACTTACTCCAGATAAACTGGAATCGCTAGGTAGTCATGCTCCAATAGGGGTAACCCTTCACCGGACGCCATGGCCTTCTCCCACCTCCTGGTATACGTGAACGCCTTAGCATCCAGCGCTGCCCATGTCTTCCCATCCGACAGGGTAGGGTGTCGGATACTTACCAATCTGCGTCAAATGGCAGAACAGCAAAGGGCAGTGAGAAAACTAGTCAATCCAAAGTAAACACACGATGATAGATTCTGATAGTCATTACAGGTCGTCAACTCACGTGTTGTGGAAGTCGATGACTGCATCAGACACCCATTTCCCGTCAGCGATGGTAACCACATCCTGCTTTTTAATAACGCACCCGAGTCGTCGTTTGTTGTACAGCTCTAAATCTGGGAAATCTAAGGATTTTTTGCTATGTCAGATCTGGGAAATCACATCCGCGGGCTCCGGCAACTCCTCCTTCATACGAATAGGGGTTTCGATTTTCTTAAGACTCTCTACCGGATTATTCGCAGCGCGATTGCTACGGGTTTCACGCACATCGCCAGCCGAGCTCATCCTCGTCTGCCTGCCCGTGCCTCTACCAGGTTTTTTAGCCATCTGCTTTGCGAGAGCCATAACGTCTTGGCCTACTTCAGAGTCGTCGCAATGATGATGCCTTTCGAGCTTGGCGATTGAAGGAGCTACTGACCTCATTGACAGATATTGCTCCAAACGCACCTTGAGGCAACTATCAACTAGACTCAACACTACTACAAAACCCTGAATTCGACAATCCATAGTATCCCTGCTGTGAGATACACCATCCACGACATATCGAGGTTGTCAGACAAGTGTCACGTCACACTGTTTGGTTTACCATAGCTGCGGCATGTTGAGGTAAGCTGCCATCAATACGCGTGGCGCAACACGATTTGGTCCGTTCGCCAGTTTGATGTTTTTGATCCAGGTGTCGTGCTTTCAGGATTATCAAACCTCGGCTAATTGGGCCAATGAATCTCGCCATTCATTGGTGAAACGATTCGGTGAAACATTTCCGCATACGTGAAAGGTTGTCGCGCAACTGGATGGACAAACAAAATTGTTACACGACGTGTTACGATACGAAGGACGTGTAAAAACCCAAAACATGTCAGAATGATCTCTTATGCTCTAGCCTGTAGTGGGGTGCTCTATAGCGAGTACAACCCTTCTAGAGTTTGCTATTTGTATCCCCAATTCTGCTAGTTCAATCCTCTTCTTTCTTCTAATTTTGTCATGCTATCAGAGCAGGTCGATCCCCTTGGATCGATCCTATGGGTGGGCTTACCACCACCTAGCTTCCGCTGCTACCACTGCTACTACTATCAACTACTCTCTGAGCCGCACGCCCCGTGGCGTGCGGCATTTTTCTTCCCGCCGTGCGCCCCGAGGCACGCGGCGGTTTTCTGCCCGCCGTGCACCCCGAGGCGCGCGGCGGTTCTCTGCCCGCTGTGCGCCCCGAGGCGCGCGGCGGGCTTCGGCCCCGTCAACCGGCGCGTCGCCCTCGGGAGGCGCCGCGACGGGCGACAGGGACCCGGTCGTCACATCCCGTCGCCCGTCGTGGCCTACGCGCGGCCCGTACAGGCAGCGCGCGGCCCGTACGGGCTGCGCGAGACCCGCGCGCGGCCCGTACGGGCGGCGCCAGGCCCGCGCGCGGCTCGGGTCGCCTGCACGCGGCTTGGGCGACCCTACCTGCGGCCCTGGCCCCGGCCCCGGCGCCCTACCTGCGGCCCTGTTGTCCTGCCGCCCTACAGACCCGACCCCGTTTCCCTACCTACGGCACGTGCACCCCCCCCCCCCCCATTTCCCCTCGGGCACCCTGTCTGGTCTGTACCTTCCCTCGTTCTCGACGAACTTGGTGAGTGGTGCGGACCTGCAGGATGCGGGGGTTCACCAGTTCACTCCTGCGAGTCAGCGGGTGACCCACTGCACGGACGCACGCACACACCGGCACCTCACCACGTTCTCGCGTCGGTCGGGGTCGAGCATCTACACCCTGACCATTGAGTCTCCTCCTGTCCCTGCGTCTGGTCAGGTAGCTGCGTCAGGTCAGGTGTTTGCTGCTGCGTCCAGGTCTGGCCCTGAGTCTGCCCCCTGTTCGTGTCGCCTCCTGTCTCACGAGACTCTCCTGTGGCACCACCGTCTTGGCCACCCCTCCTTGCCCCGTCTTCGGGGCATGGCTTCCCGTGTCCTTGTCTCTGGTCTTCCCCGGTCTCTCCCTCCCCTTCCTTCGGGACCAGGACCTTCCTGTGTCCCCTGTGTCGAGGGGCGCCTCAAGGCTGCTCCTCACTCCTCCCAGTTTCCCCCGACAGAGGCTCCTCTGCAGACACTTCACATGGACGTGTGGGGCCCGGCCCGCGTCCGTGGGCAGGGTCATGAGCGCTACTTCCTGTTGGTGGTTGACGACTACTCGCGTTACAGCACAGTCTTCCCCTTGCGCAGCAAGGGTGATGTCACTGAGGTGCTGATCCACTAGATCCGCGAGGCTCGTCTCCAGCTCAGGAGGAGCTTCGGCTCGGACTTTCCTCTTCGGCGTCTGCACTCTGACCGAGGTGGGGAGTTCTCCTCTCGCCTTCTACGAGACTACTGTCGTGCACGGGGGATCCGCCAGACCTTCACGCTTCTGGACCCTCCATAGCAAAATGGGATTGCTGAGCGCCGCATTGGCATGGTCATGGATGTCGCTCGTACGTCCATGATGCATGCGGCTGCCCCCCATTTTCTGTGGCCGTTTGCGGTTCAGTACGCGGCGCATCAGCTCAACCTTCACCCCAGGGTCTCTCGACCCGCGATGTCCCCAGTCTTGCTGTGGACGGGAAAGGTCGGCGATGCGTCTGCATTCCGTGTCAGGGGATCTCGGGCGTTTGTCCGCGACTTGTCTGCGGACAAGCTGTCCCCTCGTGCTGCTCCCTGTGTCTTCCTTGGCTTCCCCCCTGACGCTCCAGGGTGGCAGTTCTACCACCCCTCCTCTGGTCGTGTTCTGTCCTCCCAGGACGTCACGTTGGACGAGTCAGTTTCCTTCTACCGCCTCTTTCCCTACCGCACTCCTTCCCTCCCCGCGCCGCCGCACTTCCTTGTCCCAGTTCCCCCCCCGGTAGACCCCCTTCCCCCTCAAGGTCGTGCCCCTTCAGGTGTGTCCTTGGTAGACGCAGTCAAGCCAGTCGAGGTTGCTGTTGAGTCTGGTACTGCTACGAGTGCTGAGCCTGGGGGTGCTGAGCGTGGGGGTACTGCGACTGCGGGTGCGGAGTCTGGGGGTGCTGCGCCTGGGGGTGCTGAGCTTTGGGGTGCTGCTACTGGAGGTGCTGAGCCTGGGGGTGCTGAGCCGGGGGGTGCTGAGCCGGGGGGTGCTGTGTCTGGAGCTGCTGAGCCTGGGGGTGCTGAGTCTGGGGGTGCTACGTCAGGGGCTGCTGAGCCTGGGGGTGCTGAGTCCGGAGCTGCTGAGCCTGGAGGTGCGGAGCCTGCGACCGGTGGCCCTCCCCTTGTCCTGTCTGGCGGTGCTGGACCTAGGGGTTCTCAGGGTGCTCCGTCTCGGCCGGAGCCACTCTCTCCACAGGAGCTGCGCGAGTAGTTTGCTCGCCGCTGGAGGCGTGCTGCTGGAGCTGGAGCTACTTCGACTGCTGAGGGTGCTGGTGCTACCGGTCCTGGAGCTGCTGGGCCTGCGGGTCCTACTGGAGCTGGAGCTGCTGAGGGTGTTGGTGCTGAGACTGCTGCTGTCTGTCCTGGCGGTGGTCCTGCTTCTCGTGCTGCTGGAGGTCCTGCAGTTGGAGGTGCTGTTGGCGCTGGTGCTGCTGCTGAGGGTGCTGGTGCTGTCCCTGCAGTGTCTGGAGTCCCCGCGCGGCCTCGGCCGTACTTCGTTCCGCTCCTGCAGCAGGTTCTTGGTCTTTCTCCTCCTGTAGAGAGTCCACCGCCTGTCCAGTCACAGTCACTGTTACAGCCCGCCTCCCCACTTCCTGCTCCCTCTCCTTACACTGGTCGTACTGGAGATCTTGCTGAGCGTCGTGAGCCTGCGTCTCATCCCGCGTCGCCTGTTGGTACTGCTCGCGCTAGTGGTCGCGGTTCGCATCAGCGTCCTCCTCCTGTCCCTGGCAAGCACCGGATGTCTCTGCATCCGTCCACTGCTACTCTGCGTGCCCCTTCGCCTTCTCCTCCTGAGTCCTCTCTTCCTACCCTTGCCGACCCCGAGTCGGACTCTGTTCGTGCTGCTAGTCCTACTGTCACGCGTCTCCTTGCTAGTGTCGTCACTGACCCCTCGTTTGAGTCCATTGATGCGTCTGCGCTTGTTGCTGAGCTCGTCGACTTTGCTGCTCGCTGTCGTCTA